CTTTGTACAGAAAAAGTTACAAAAAATTTGAACCTTTACCTGTATTGTAAATTTTTTGTATAGGTCCTATAAGAATCTAAAGAAAGTAAAGATGAAACAGTGCGCTCACAAGGACTGGCTGTGGTAGCTAGCTATACCGGCCCATTCGTGCCGAAGCATGACTCTCATACACAGTTTGTATTGTCTAATAACAAAATAGCTGTGAACGTGGTGTGTAAGGACATTTTGTAGTACCTAGGTATGTTTACATAAGTATTGCACCCGTGCGAAGCCGGGGCGGGTCGCTAGTTAATATATAGTTAGCAGCTCTACGACAGCCTAAAAGTTGTAAATAATTTTGTAAACATTATATGTATGTCTAAATAAATAAATGTTTCGAACCATAAAAAAAAGTGTCAGACTCTTACTGACTATAAACCACCCCGTTCCTACTGTCGTACCGTTAAGTCCTCCGCCGCTTCGTGTGAAAATACCATGGTGCAGGAGAGTGTTGAACTCACCTGCGCTGCGCACACGCCACTCGCTGCCAGAACCTGTACTTGCCTATTGTTTTCCACGTGCTTCCCACACATATGTGTGGTTTCTTAGCCTTCGATTTATGCATGCTCTTTGTTCTGTGTCTGCCGATTCTTGCGCTCAAGGGCACGACTTCCACTAAAAATTGAAGATTACATGTTTATAACGGAAGTTAGGAAGTTCTAGAGGAATATATGGAAGTTCTGAAAAAGCCTAAACTGACTCTCATAACAACAAGTGTGGGAGAGCCATGCTTCGGCACGAATGGGCCGGCTCGACCGGAGTGATACCACGGCCTCACAGAAAACCGACGTGAAGCAACGCTCGCGTTGTGTTTCGTCGTGTGAGTGAGGTTACCGAAGGCCCAATTACCCTTCCCTTCCCCAATCTTACCGCACTTGTAACGCCTCTGGTGTTCCAGGTGTCCATGGGCGACGCCGATAGCTTACCATCAGGTGATCCGTCTGCTCGATTACCGACTTATGCAATAATAAAAAAGTCGCTGGAATTTGCTATAATCCAGGTTCTTTCACAATAATTAGAAAGTTTTATTCTTCACTAGCGACCCGCCCCGGCTTCGCACGGGTGCAATATGCATGTATTATACATACAAACCTTCCTTAAGAATCACTCTATCTATTAAAAATAACCGCATCAAAATCCTTTGCGTAGTTTTAAAGATCTAATCATACATACGGACATACAGCGAAAGCGACTTTGTTTTATACTATGTATTGATAGGCACTTGTTTAGTTTGTATACATACTTACAGACCCTGTAATGTTTCAAGCAATTCACGATTTGCATCATTCAAATACTTTGCGTTATTTACAAATTAAAAAGTTTCAAACTTACAAAGTATCAGTAACGAAATAAAGGCGATGTATATTTTAGGGAGCATTACAATCGATTGAACGTATTCCGGTTACGTCAATGCACCTATTGCAATATATGAACCAATGTTGCGAAGATAGTTTATGTGCGCCGGGGAGCGACCAGCGCAGCACCGAGCACACAACGCTCTGCGGCGATAACGTCCACGTACAATATCATTTCACGCGTGCGCATGTCTTAATCCTTTTTTACGTGGATGTTATGTAAAGAACCAAAACAGAAGATATTCGTACTTGTACTTCTATACATTTGCTTAAATATGAATAAGTGATAATTCATGGAATTATTTTAAAAGTCATAAGGAACGAATGATACCTAAATGAAATTCTATCACGCACGGGCAATTTTGTGTAAAACAATTATTTTCTATTTAAATAACTTATGATAAGAAACGTATCTGTCTAATGCCGGAATACTGAAACGTTACTCAATTTTAAGTCGTGCTTAAATATCGTGTTATCTCTATCATTTACAAAGAATTTGTAGAGACAGAACTATACTTAAGCATGACTTATAATTGAGTAACGTTTCAGTATTCGGACATAAGTCCTTTAAATCGTCGCCAAACAAACTAAACAGACGGCAAAGCGCCACCTACTCGCACGAAGAGCTTCACCTCAAGTTCTTTAAATATAACAGCTGCGAAGTGGATGTTTTTGCCAGAGTCTATGTCTTTTTTATATTATATAAAAATGTTTCCTGTAAAGTGTCTTAAGGAGTGAGAATATTTATGGGCCGCCGTGTTCTAGGTGAATGTAGCGTGGCGAGTGGCTACCTTGTCAGCTAATACTTGAATTTTACGTTAATTATTAATAAAGAATAAAAGTATTGTTCTTTGAAAAAGGCAATTTTAAAAGAACTCGCAATCCCAAAGACTGGTCTTTGCATAATTAAAATATACAAATTGACGAGCAGCGACTTCATTCTGAATAAGAAATTATTGAATGGCAACAGGTAACTTGATTTACTAGGCCTCATTATACACATTATTGGCAGCAATTGGATTCACAACTCGAGGATCACTTGCTGACGAATATCGAGCTCAGTGGTGTTCTATTCTGTTGGGTTTAGTGAGGTCTATGTTCAACATCGGATAGAAACGTCATTAAAACCATGGCTACCAAAGTATTTTACCTTTTGTTATTTTCTGCTTCGTGGTAAGCTATTCAATTTGTCGTGCATTGTTAACTTTAATTTTAATGTAAACTTTCAGGCAACGTACGCGATGGACTCTGGTACGTTTGCAATTTTGTTGGAGTTAATAAGTAAGTAAATTTTGTTATAATATTTAACAAGATGGATATTTTCAACTTGGTAATAAAAGTGTAGCGTAGATATACATTATGTGTTATGTTAATGTAGGTACGTATATTCCTACGTCAAGTCATATTAGTATCTCTTTAGATTAGGGGAAGGTTTATGTCAGAAAGAGAAACTTTTCTTAATTTTATGTAAAAAACATTACCACAAAATAGTTTTGATACTTCTCCTTTAGCCTTTTTGATGTAAGCCTTCTTCAGTTTCTGCCATCTCTTTCGATATTGAGCAATTTCCGCCAATTTTATGCCAGCTGCTGTCTTCATTGCTGGCGATTTTCACCCCACGGCCTCCACTCCATAACGGATTTGCACCACAAACCCTATTTGCGTGCAACGTGACCAGCCCACTCCCACTTAACTTTCGCAATATACTGTGTGACGTTCTTTACTCTGTTGTCTTAGCCACTGATTTCTATTACGATCTCTCAGTGTAACACCTACCAGCTTTCTCTCTACTACTCTTTGGGCTACTTAGTCTCGGCACCGTATATAAGCACCGGTTTTCTACGAGAGCCTTTGTTTAGCAGTAATGTTCATACGGAAGGCCAACTCAAGCTTGGAGTAGGCCGTCCAGGCCAATCTTATATGCCAATCAATTGGGTTCGTTTGGTTGTCCTTTCCCATTCTTATTCCAGATAGACAAACATATTTGGTTACTCCTTTAATAATGGCGTCATTTACTTAGATAATTGCAGTGGTGTTGGCACAATTTCTCATAATCATCATCTATCTAAACTATGACAATCAGACTATTCTGTATGCCGAACCATCTGTATGCCGAACCATCTGTATGCCGATGACCTGCAATTGTACTGTCAAGTCAAGATTGAGGACTTACCTGATGCAGTTGCGAAGGTGAACGCGGACTTGACTGCCATATCTAACTAGTCTGGGAAATTTGGCATTAATGTCAACCCGAGCAAGTGTCAGGCGATAATAGTAGGTAGCTCCCGCACTTTGTGCAAGGTTAACAGTGCAACGGTACCGCCAGTCCGATTTGACGGTGCGGTCATTCCATTTAGTAGTGATGTCAAAAATCTTGGGTTGCACATCGACGGCAACTTAACCTGGCGTGCTCATGTTACTAGTGTCTGTCAGCGAGTCACGGGGACGTTGCGAGCCCTCTATCGGTTAAAAAACTTCCTTCCGTCGTCGACCAAGGCGATGCTTGTTCAGTCCTTGGTTTTCCCCATAATTGATTACGCTGATGTGTGTTACTACGACCTGAATGCAGATCTCCTCAATAAACTTGACCGCCTTCTAAATAACTGCATTCGATTCGTCTTTAACCTGCGTAAATACGACCATGTCTCTGCATATCGGTTGCAACTAAAGTGGTTGCCCATACGTCAACGCAGGAAACAACGGGCGTTAACCACTTTATTTTCTCTTCTTAATTCCCCCACTTCTCCTAGCTATCTATCCTCCTATTTTCAGTTCATAAGTGCAAACCACAGCAAGTATCTTCGTTCCACTAATAATCTTCTTCTACAATGTCCCACGCACCGGACCGACTTCCTTCACTCTTCATTCTTTGTCCAATCCATTCTGCTGTGGAATGCGCTGCCCACGGATGTCAGGACGGCAACCAGCCGGCTTAGTTTTAAAGTTAAGGTTCGTGAACTATTGCAGAGGGAACAGACAGACGCATCACGTACTTAATTTATCATTTTGGCGATTGTATTTAATATATAT